AATTTTACAAAAATTAAAAATAGATGAATCTCCCCAGCAGTCAGGTAACTGACGTTTATATGCCATCCTGAGCTAAGTTGAAGGGGGTAGGGGTCTGTGGCTTCAAAGGGGAGAAGGACAATTCACAGGAAGACACAAAGAGCAAATGTTTAGTAAGCAAATGTTTGCCATATCATGCAGATAGCCTATATGATATAAAAGTTATCTCTGATAATAGGAGGGACATAAAAAGCTCTTCCTGGGTCTGAGGGGCCCCGATTGTCTTTAGCATGATATAATATGTGTGCCAAGGTGGCCCATACCGGGGTGGCATGTCCTGCCTCCCCTCATCTACAACATTCCCAGGGCTGTCTGGTTACTCCCGGCCCTTACAACAGCAAAGGGAACAGCCTGGCTTTAAACTAGAAAGCTTAAGGGTATTGTAATACCATTGTTGTAGTGTTTGCATTAGTAAGATACCCATAGGGTAACATAAATCTGAAAAAAAATTAAAGTGATACACATGACAAAATGAAGTATGTTGTAACAAACAGTCGGGACAGAATCAGGAGACTTACTAGATATCTTCTCAGGCAATTCACTTCCCTTTTCTAGATTCCTATCTCTTTACCCATAAAAGGAGAGGGTTAACCAGCTGAAGTTTTCTTTCTGCACAGATGATTGGTGGAAGGGTCATCTAAGAAATTTATTTCTATATTTGAGGAGTATTTCTCCTTCCTAGTCTTTTTCATTTACCTCTGAAACGTCAGGGGAGACCCCACAACTAGCTGATGGTTATTATATGTCCTGGTGTCAAGCTCAGAAAGGAAACAATGCAATAGAGAAGCTTTGTGTTTTAAGTCTGCCTTTTAATGAGGAAGAGCTTATCAGCAAAAGTTGTCCCTATTAAGAGGGACCCGTATCTCAGCTACTTTCTGCACTTTCCTAGACATGCTTTTCTTCACACAGAGCATGGCCAATGACCCTTTGATTCTCAGTCCCTTCAGTGTGTCCCCTAGAAGTCAAGTCTCTGCTGGGATCCCCAGCATCTCGTCGTGGCCAAGATTGTTATTGGAATCCCAATATTTTTGAGTCCACCTGCCTGCATGTACTGGCACAAAGAAATGCATGAACAAGATAGAAGAAAAATAGTTTAGTATTGAATTGGCCAATCTGGAGGCGGGAAACTAACGCTGAACATCGAACCTGATGGTGTGTAGGTTACAGATTATATAAAGTGAAATTACAATGTATTGTGGGGTTTTGGTCACACTGAGAGCTGATTGGTCAGAGGTGAGGTAAGAGTAATAAATTACTTCTTCAAATCTTGAAAACAGTCCTGAGATCTGCTCCTGCGTCCCCATGTCTGTTCTCATGGGAAAATAGCCAGGGGGTCAGTTACAGAACTCAGGTCAAGAAGTTATCTTCAGCCTGTCAGAGTTCCCAGCCCTGTGACCGCCCCGTCAGGTCCAGGCTACTGTCTTCTATTGCCGAGGGGCTTGCTGATTATCAGGGGAAAAGCTAGGTCTCTGAGGGGTATAAAGAGTAAAAGATGCAGTTTCTAGAGCTAGGATTTAAAGCTAAATTTAATTGAAGTCATAAGAATTTGATCATAATCTTTTTGTAGCTTCTTCTACCATAAGAGAGAGGCCTGATCTCTCTTCTCATCCCCATTTCCAATTTCTTTCAAACGTCTTACATAAGAGTGCAGTAAAGGAAGGATAATAACACATCTTTGAACATTTAAGGTGTGTCAGGATTAAGCCAAATACTTTTCTCTGTATTTTAATGTAATCCTTATAATAACTCTTGAGGTAACTACTATTACTCTAATTTACAAAGTGAAGAAATTGTCTTAAAGAGATTAAAATGATGGCCCAAGTTCATAAAATGATGGAGCTAAGATTCTAGAGCAGGTCGACTTGACCCCAGAACCGAAACTTACAACCCCTGCAGTGTTCTACGGATGCCCAAATTGACCTCATCTCCTTGACTCACATGGGACATTAGATAATCCAAGACCCAGAAACCATTGAAATTTGGTTGTTTTCTATTTTTTGAAACTTTTCAGTGAGGACATTCTTTCACTTCCTTTGTATCTTGGTCAGCTTTTATCTTGTATCTTACATCCTATGCTTTCTAGACTTCCTGAAAGCCTTCCAAAAACCAGATTTCTTCCTGCTATGAATAAGACCAGTTCTTGTGTGCTTTCAGTGAGGTTTAGGAACACACCCTCTTTGTAGTAACTGCTCTCACAAAGGACGTTTATTACTGATATCGTTTAGGCCTTATTCTCCAGCTGGATTCACTCAGACATTTATTGAGCACTTGTTAACTTCAAGGTGGTTTTAGGCACCAGGAATAGAGTGGTGACAACACTGACTGACCCAGCCCTCATCGAGCAACACCCTGCTGGTGGCAAGCCAGTCTGCCCATAGTTTCTAATAAATCCCATTTTCCCTGCTTTCTAGCCAACCTGTCATGTTCTTTTTATGATTCTTGAGTTAAACCTAGTATTTGAAAAGACTACCTTATAATTCTTCTATGTGAACTTTTTCCTCCTGAATCCTACAGCCACACCTGGTTGCAAACTTCAGATGCATGATATTCTCCTTTCAGGCCAAGAGGAGGGAGAATGAACATTAGTGAGCACGTGTAGTATAGGCTGGTATTTAAAATACAGGGTCTTATTTAATCATCACAGAGGCATAAGGAAGCCAAGGTTATCATTCTTATTTTCAAATGAAATACTTGAAGATTTTAGAGGTCAAATGCCAGAGCTTAAAATAAACAGAATTTGGAGGTGGATGCCAAATGCAATGCAAAGGGCCTCCTTTCCTTCCTATGTGGGAAGGGACTCATTCTCCTGGACCCCAGCCTTAGGGCCGTGCTGGGGAGCAGCCAGCATTTCCCAGGCCTGGAAGATGGGGCAGAGCCATGACTGAAGCATAACACAGTATTTTGTCTCTCCCTAGCAGCACTCTAGACTATTCCTATGGAGTCAAGAGGTAGCCCCACAGCTTGCATTTCTACTTTTGTAGTTCATTCCTTGATTCTTTCTTTAAAATTATTTTTATTATACATTTTCCCATTACCATTTATTCCCCATATAGCTCCCACCCCCTGCAATCACACTGTGGTCCATGTCCATGAGTCCTTTTTCTTGTTTCAATCTTCAAACATTCTCTATTGACTGGCAGGCAAATTCTGTATTAATAGGACAACTAGGTCACAGGAGAAGAAAGCTGAGCTGATAGTGAGGTAGAGAGGTTCCAGAGGCAAATTTTTCTATCTCCCAAAGTTGAAGTGTTGACTTTCATGATCCCAACTCCAGACAACTTCCTCCAGGTAAATTTGCTTCTTGAATCTCAGCTAATCAGTTGGGGCTGGGCCTCCACTCAGATGGCTGAAGATCGGAAGTTATAGAAACAGGATGTAAGCCCATACAACACATAGAACGAACATCAAAGCATCATGATGTTATAAGCTTTTCTTTGATAAACATGTAATCTCTATATCACAGTTTTCTAGGGAGATGGATTCAGCTTGGAGAATATTCCTCTATTCTAGCAAAAGAATTTTATTTATCTAACCTTTTAAATTTAGTTTCCTATGAGAGCCTATAATGAACATAAATAAAGTATTACAGGAATTTCAGGTACTACACTGTGTAAAAATTTATTTTTTAGTTATTTATATATTTTAGGTGTTCAGTAGTTCTTGTATAATGGCTCATTTTTTAGGGTGCGTAGAAGTAGGGGATTATTTTGTTTGAAGAAATGTGATTTCAAATTGCCTGAGTGACGACTTCTTGCTAATTGACCCATCCATGCGGTAGATGCTCACTGACCCATTGTTGGTCCTAGAATAAGCTCATGCTTGGGTTTGTGGGTTTTGAGATACATCAAAAGATGATATCAACTATGAGTCACTGAAAGGATTTTATATTCACAGAGCCTGGCCTAGGGGCTATATAAAGAGAGTGACATTTAAGGAACTTGTACTAGAGAAGAACAGGGTGATTGACATTAAGTCATTCAGGAGAAGTTTAAAATGAAGTTTTTTCTACTGATACTGGTCCTGCAGGTCGTTCCAACTCTTGGAGCTGTTTCTTCGACAAGCTTTAAAGAAAACAATGAGATACTTGTTCAGGTAAGTATTAATGCTATAGTATTTATCTAGTCTGATTTTCTGCCTTTAAGATTTATTGCATTGAGCAGTCTTATCTCAAAAAGTACTGTTTGAAAACTGGTTTAGCAGCTTACTTGATTTTAGCTCTGAATTTTTCTTTGCCAAAGAGGAATGTAATAAAGAAGTATGGGTTTTGAAGGAGTGTTATAAAATTGGTGGGTGAATTTGCCCCTTCTACTAAAAAGGTTAAGCCACACAGCTTTAGTTCAGAATAATTGGTGTTCTACTTCTGTTATGGTATTTCACATTAGCCATTTTAATGCTGGTTAATAATCTGAGATTTGAACAATGTCAATTAATTTAGCCGCTTAAGCCTGCCATGATAATTCAAGAATACTCTTTACTTTCACTATCTCAAATATTTCTTCATGAGCAGTTTTTAAAATGTAACTTTTCAATTCTTTTTTTATATGAGTTCAGATGATTTCCCATTTTCCAAGGCTGTTTCAACTTTGAATTTTTCATAGTTGTCCATCTTATTGAGGACGTTCTACTTTTAAGCAAGAAAATGTTATCCCAACTTAAATTAATAATGCATCCTGACAATAAAGATTTTGTTGCTTACTGATACTCAAATAAGTTTTAAAAAGTAGAAACAAGTTAGAAGGGGAAAAGACATAAAGGTGTTTTCAGTGGGCTTCCAGAAATCAGTCTTGCTAATAGTTTATGACACGTCTTTGACAGCACAGAATATTTAATTTTTTTTCATTGTAATTGTCTGATAGCTGGTTCAAAAACATCAGTGTGAGTTGAATCATATATGCAGAACTCCAATGGAAACCTTTAGATGTACAATAATGTAATACTAAATGTATTTTTTTCAGGACTACTTGAAAAATTTTTATAACTTTCCTCTGGAGACAATTCGAATGACAAAAATGAAAGTCAATACAAACTTCATGGAGGATAAAATTCAGGAAATGCAGCAGTTCTTGGGGTTAAATGTGACTGGGCAACTGGACAAATCTACTCTGGACATGATGCACAGACCTCGATGTGGACTGCCTGATGTTCATCAGTTCAAGACAATGCCAAGGAGGCCAGTGTGGAAGAAACATTTTATCACCTACAGGTGACACTATAGCCATGAATTTTTCTATTTTCCCATAGGTCTGACTTCTAGAAACTGGAACCATTTAGATATAGCCCTAAATCTCATAGCAGATAAGAAGCCTCCCTCAACTATTAACACTATACCTTTGTTAAAATTCATTGTCTCTGGAATAGAGGATTGTTCATCCAGGGATTGTTTGGCTTTCCAGTCCAGACCAGACTAAGAAGGCTGAATGCAAAAGGAGAATGAAGTTAAATCTACAGTAAATAAGACACAGGAGAAAGTTTTATAGAAGAGTTAAGATGAATAAATGCAGAAGTTTTGGAGCAGAGGCAAAAGGCTTAAGCTTCTATGCATGTAAATCTTTCATAATAGTGACCTATAAATCATAAATAAGAATGAATCAAGTTAGAGTCTGTTTAAGGGGGAAGCTATCCAAGGATAAATATCTCTGTAGTACAAAAAGTATGTTTTGTTTTCTTTTTATCAGGACAATTAATTTATGAAATGATTCATTTTCCAATGATGCTAGCAGAAATGAAGTTTCATAATAAGACAAAATTAACACATGGTTTCCATATCTTTTTCTCTTTTTTCATTTTGCTGATAAAGAATCAATAATTATACTCCTGACATGAAGCCTGAGGATGTCGACTATGCCATCCAGAAAGCTTTTCAAGTGTGGAGTAATGTGACCCCCCTGAAATTCAGAAAGGTTACTGCAGGCGAGGCTGACATTATGATCCGTTTTGCACCTGGAGGTAGAGAACTTGGACTTACTTCATCTGTGTCATTTGGCATGATCTATAGCATATAGAGAAGGGCTAATTTTCTTCTCCTTTTAACAAGCTCATGGAGACTTCAGTCCTTTTGATGGCAGAGGTGGAATCATAGCTCATGCTTTTGGACCTGGATCTGGTATTGGAGGAGACGCACATTTTGATGAGGCTGAACTTTGGACTAAAAACTACAAAGGTAGGCAAACAAACAAACAAAACCCCCCAAATAAAATAAAGACCACTAACAAGTTCTAAATTGCATCACCATTCTGAAAATCTACCTTCCAAGAAAGAATTATAGGATGAAAAAACTTGTTCTGATTATAACTTAGCCACTAAATAAAAAGTAACACTGTCTCAATTTTACCCTCTATAAATTGAGGATATTGGACTAGATTACCTTAAAGATCCATTCTTAGAATCTTTAAGATTCTAATAAACAGCCAGTTCTTTAGTATAAACTCAAGAACCTTAAGAACTATAACATGTAAAAGTTGTTATGTGATCAATTTTGACAAAGCAACCCATAAACTCAAGAGAATACAGATACTAATTTTGTGTGTGCTAACGATCCTAAAATAATGTGGCCATCTTCATGATCCATTGTACGTTGACAGTTTCTTAGATTTATCGTGACACAGAAAGATGATGCTATAGAGAAATTAGAGATCCTTATAGAGATACACAATGTTATATGGTCATGCAGTCTCTTGTGGTTCTGGGATAAAAATTTCAGAATGTCCAACTGATCATTTAATAATACCTTGTGTGTATTTACAGAGGGGCTGTAAGTCACCATTCTTATCAATGAGTTGGAAGATAGGGATAATTAGTCTCCCCTGTTTGGAAGAATCACTCTCCACTGGAAAGTTCAAACTATCATATCAGAAGATTTCTTAATCTCTCCATTGGAAATCCTAGATTACATGACTGACTCATGTGGAAAGTAAATGGAGAGAAAGTTATCAAGAATGGGCTTTATTCAGCATCCCCCTTTCTCTGGCTGGTAACTGTCCACATTAGATGGCAATATTTTACATACCAGGAAGACTGTTTGTTTTAGTCTGACACATAGTCCAAAACTTATAAAATTATTGAGTGATAAAAGGATTTTTACATTGCCAAAAGCCAAATGATGTAGGATTAGGTTTTTGCTGAGCTGAAAATTCTCAGCTAGACATGTTAAATTTGTCTAAATTTTATACAAGCGAATTTGAGTTTTATAATAATTTCATCTGACATGGGAGACTTGTACTGGTTAGTTAGAATGTTTTGGAATTCTTAAGGCCCATAGAAAAATCATTTAATATAGTTTTTCACAGTTAGAGGAAATTGAGATCAAGAGAAAAGTAGTGGCAAGCTTGTGGAAAAGCTGGGGTCTGAACGTGCATTTTCTAGTTCTTATCTTGGTCCAATGTAAACTTCCTACATGTTCACGTTGCCTTATTTTTAATTGTCTTGATTCTATATTTTTAAAAACTAAATTATTTATAAAAATTCTAACTTAAAGTGCTCATTATCAACCTAATTTTTTTGCACATTAAATGAATAAACAATTAGTTCAATTGTTGCTGAGTTTCTATTATAGTGTTAGCTGATGTGGGTATTTGGCTGCAGAGATGAGAAGGACCCAGTCCTGCCCTGGAGGAGCAGACAATCTGGCAAAAACCAGAACACAAACAGAAATCCATTATTTTGAGATAAGGACCAGTGATGGTCTTTTATACAAAGTATTATATGAATTGGGGATAAGATAAATTTAGGTTTAGGCCAAAATATAAAAGGCTTTGTTTACTCTTCCCTGTATTAATGTAGAGTGGGAAGAATGACAGAGTCTGTTTCTTTTTCATTATCTAAAAGAAGTTAAAGCATTTCCAAGTTAGTTGCTAAACCCCATCTGTTACAAGGAATGTTCCTAGACATTCTGAAGAGAGGTGGAGATTCTATGTTCATATTTGGGTGCTGGAGAGTATTTCAAGGCCAGGCCCTGAGACTAAGAGGATTGTGGCCCTGGGCAAGACAGTTATGAGCTTCAGTTTTGCCACAGAAAAAGAAAGACAGAAATAAATGTATTAGACTAGAACACAGATTTAAAACTAACAGTAAGGGGTTATTCAAATCTTCTGGGATTTGAGAAACTTGACAGTTTCTCTTGACAGTTTCTCAAATAGTGCCCTCTTTCCTACCTACAACGGTGCATTCTCTAGGGCATACAGAAGAAATGAACAGGCATGACTATAATTTGGCAGTGTAAATGTGCCTAAGTTATAAGCATAGTCTCTGATTTCATTTAGAATTGTGTATAGTTAAAGGATGAACTTTAGATACAAGAAATTTGAATTTGAATCTTGGGTTCTTGGCTCAGATCTTTATTTGGTCAATTAATCTTGTTGATACTGTGTCCTCATCTTAAATAGAGAGTATGGTGGCTGTCTACCAGTTGTATAAGGATTAGACAATACAATACAATACAATACAATACAATACAATACAATACAATACAATGTGGTATATTTCTCAGTGACTCATAGTACCTGGCAATTAATATGGCCTTTTATTGGAGTTTAGTAAAGAATGGTTACTAAAGACTTTATACATCCACTCAAGATTAATCAAAACTGGAAGCAGAATAAAGTTGGAACGATCTAGAAGAAATGAGAACTACTGAACACAGCTATGAGTTATTCTAGAAATTTTCACAACATAATATATTTCATTTGTGTAATAGTGCAGTGGTCCTTAACCAGAGGCAATTTTGCTCCCAAGAGGACATTAGACAAATGTCAGGAACATTTTGGTTGTAAAAACTGAAGATGGATTTGCTACTTATTTAATGGTAAACCAGAGATTTCTAAACATCTACAACAAACAATTATCTGGCCTATATTGTCAATAGTGCCAAAGATGGAAAACCTTGTGCGAGGAGGGAAAACAAGTAAAGGATTCCCAAATGTTACCTTTTTCATTATGTCAGATTTAAATTGTGTTATCGTCTTCTAAATGCCATTATATATCATTGCTCTTTTTCCCTCCGGGTTGGTTTCCTCTTAGGCATCAACTTGTTCCTAGTTGCTGTTCATGAGTTTGGTCATTCCTTGGGTCTTGACCATTCCAATGATCGAAAGGCCATAATGTTCCCCACCTACAGATATGTGGATCCCAACACATTCCACCTCTCTTCTGATGATATACGTGGCATTCAGTCTCTCTATGGTGAGTTGAATTTGTTTACCATTTTGTCTTATGAACACTCATTCTTATGAATGGTTTCATGATATCTGCATTTGGACAAAACCTTAATATCTATATTTGCTTTTAACCTCATGAAAATTCTGTGAGGTAGATAGCACAGATATTATATTCATTTTTACAGGTGAGCACAAGAGACCTAGTATGTTAATGCCAGAGACAAAAGCAGAACTAAGCCTTCTAGCCTCAATCTGTCCTTTCTATCTAACATAACATTGTCAATTAGAGAAGGCACACAGAGAAAAAATTTAACTGGAACAAAAAAACCAGTGAATAGATTTTTTCCCTCCATGATGTTTCAAACACATGGGGGAAAAAAATCTTTATTGTATGTCTTCTGTTAAAAAATCATAAATTGCTTTTAATGCATTTTTCATCAAGAAAATTAAATGTTTCTTATTGTTGTTCAATTACAGCTGTCCCCATTTTCCGCCCATTACTGTCCTCACCCTACCCTCTCCACCCCCCATATTCAATCCTCTACCTGCCCCCCACCCCTGTCTTTGTCCATTGGTCCTTTATACATATTGTTTCACCACCCTTTCCCTTCTTTCCCTTGTTGCCCCCCTCCAACCTCCCCTCTGGTCACTGTCAGTTTGTTCTATATTTCCATGTCTCTGGTTATATTTTGCTTGTTTGTTTTGTTGACTAGGTTCCACTTACAGGTGAGGTCAGATGGAATTTTCTTTCACCACCTGGCTTATTTCACTTAGCATAATGCCCTCCAGTTCCATCCACGCTGTCTTGAAGGGTAGGATTCTTCCTCTTATAAACTAAAATACATATTTTTTCTAATGCTTCTTGAAATTTTTTTTTTTTTCAGGACGTCCAGAAAAGGACAAACCCTCATCAAACCCTGACAATACAGAATCAGCTGTCTGTGATCCCAATATGAGAATTGATGCTGTCACTACAGTGGGAAATAAAATCTTTTTCTTTAGAGACAGGTAGGATCATTTTTATGCCTGACCAAGTGCAAAAGTTCTGTCATATGGTGGTTTTTGTTGTTGTTGTCATTGTTGGAGAATAATAGAAAATAGTGGAAAATTAAGTAGATGGAAATTGTGAGTAGGGACTTGGACTTGATTCTTTAGGCAGTGGAGAGATCTTGAAGATTCTGAAGCAAGACAGTGGTATGATTATATTTATGTCTTAACTAGAAAACTGGCATCAAATAATGGATTTGCAGTAGGAATTTAGGTTGGGGAAAGATAAGATAGGAAACAAAGAAGCCAGATGATTTTAATCATAGATAAAAATAGTGTCTGGAACTAAAGCTCTGAAAGAATGGCTATTTAAAGGATTTGATTCTTGATTAGAGAGAAGGGAATTCCAGGATGATTTATGGTTTCTGTCTTACAACACAGACCGAAACAGATATTGATGGTGTGGGGGGGTATAGAAGATTAATATTTGGTAGGGAGGACAAATGTCCTTCATTTTTGAAACTCAAAAACTGAGATACTTGATGATAAGTGACTTCCTTTATATTACAAAACTAATGAATGGATTGTGGAACCAGACAAGAACCTAGATCCTTTGATTCCAAGATCCAGGTTATTTCCATATAACCATTTGCCTGTTAATACCATTGCTATTATCAAAGAATTGATTAACATCCTTTTCTTGTGCTGCTCTTACTCAGACATCCATGGAACAGAATATGAAGATAATGGGAGGAAACTAAATTATTTCACAGGTCCTTTTCACCCACCTTTCATGATTCTTGAGTCTACAACAATTTTAACATATATTTAACATTTTACATGTCAGGTACGTCTGGAGGAAGCTTCCTGAGAGTCCAAAGTGGAGCGTTAGTTTAATTTCTTCTTTATGGCCAACCTTGCCATCTGGTATTCAAGCTGCTTATGAAATTGGAGCTAGAGAAGAAGTTTTTCTTTTTAAAGGTAATTCCAACTTTTAGTTTTGCTATTCAGTCTACTTCAAGGAAGAGAATAAATTAAGGAAACACTACTTTTTATAAATAAAGAACCAAAAAGCACTCCAAATTGTATTAATTGTACTCTGAACTATAACCTAAAATAGATTGAATACTTAGATAATACATAAAACTTTCAGGAAAAATTTGTAAAATATAGATTATAATGCTTGTGGAAAAAAAAATTTACGGAGCCATAGGAGGTAGGCCATGTTTAAGAACAAGGAACAATACATTTTGGAACTATGGGACAAGAATGATGTTTGTAGTGAGTCATTATATATTTCTATTACTTTTTCTGTATGATTGAAATATACCTTTTTTCTTTGTGTTCACAGATGATAAGTACTGGTTAATCAGCAATTTGAAACCACAGCCAGGCTATCCAAAGAGTATACATTCTTTGGGCTTTCCTGGCTTTGTGAAAAAAATTGATGCAGCTGTTTTTAACCCACTTGTATATAAGACCTACTTCTTTGTAGATCATCAGTTTTGGAGGTGAGCTTTGATGGTTAGTAATTTGGCCCTTAAGATTTGTGAAACCAGCAAGGAATGGGGTTTTCCAGAAGATGGTTTTCTATGCAAATTCCCAAACATACTTGACCTTCCTGGGAAAAGGATCAAGAGACTATAGGACTGGAATAGTTACTGTCAATCTAATTTTCCTTCTCTGGACTTTTGGATTCTGATTTATGAGGTAACACACAATGTGTTTTAAAAAGAACACTTTAAGTAAAATGTCATGGTATTAATCACAATGGAAAAACATTGGACAATAGTGGTAGAGATGTATTGGACCTAGTCTTTACAGCCAGTTTAGTGGGTGTACAAAGTTTCAGATTCCTTTCCATAACCATTGGACCCAATAAGCAAAATGAGGAGACCATCCTCAGAGGGACAGATGATCTTGCAAGGTCTTTACTAACAGGAAATTAGACAACCAAGTTCTATAAAACAGTGCAAGTCATCAGTGGAAGCATCGTGGAGGGGTGAGGAAAGTGCTTGGCTGGAAATCAGGAAGCCTTGTGTTAGAGTCTTATAGGGACCTGCAATAAATTGGTGAACTGTTTAGGTCCTTGGTTTTCATATCATTTCAGTTTAAACCCTTTTTAGTAAGAGCCTTCCAGGAAAGAAATAGATGAGTTTTGTTGTTCATGTCATGAAATGGTCACATTTATGTCAAGAAAAGTATTTCTGATGGAATTCCTGCTGGTTGGTTATTTATTTATTTATTTATTTATTTATTTGCTCAGGTACGATGAGAGAAGACAATTCATGGACCTTGGTTATCCCAAATTAATTACCACACACTTTCCAGGAGTTAAGCCTAAAATTGATGCAGTGCTCTATCAAAACAGTAAGTAGATTAGAGAACTATGAAGATACTCAAAACCCCCTGTAAAACACTGACTTTCATACTTTTTTTATACCTGCATTCTTTACTTTCCTTTTGGCTCCTTTCTCACTTCATGGGCTCTCATGGACTGGGGCTGAAGGTGGGATGAAAGAAGCTTGAGTTTGTTTGAGTGTGTATTTGTGAATGTCTTTATGAAAGGTGACCCTAAGCAAAATTGTTGACTGGGTCAAGATATTTTGTTTTTTCTTCCCACCCCCATGTTCTTTTTACTTCCTCCATCAAGGCTTCTGTGTGCCCTACCTCAGTTCAACTGAGTTCTCCATCTAGAGTGTAACTTTTCACAAAACATTTTCATGTTAATAGTCAACCTTTATATCTAAACAAACATCTCAGTAAAATTAATGAAGATATTTAATGGTGAAATGATTGGCAGTAGGCAGATATCTGGGGGCCAAGGAATCCAACATGTATATACTTGAATCAGACCTTGTGTAATTTAGATAATCTATAAAAACACAGATTTATGCTATCTTTTTTCAAAGAAATACAATCAGAGAATAAAACTGTTGTTTTTTGTTATTTTTTTAGGGCACTACTATTTTTACCAAGGATCGAACTTACTTGAATATGATGTACTTCTCCAGCGTGTCACCAAAAGGCAAAAACAATGTTGACTTTGGTTGTTAGGAATGGTATAATTACTAGTGTTTCTCAACTCACTCCAGTTTAATAAGTATTTATTTATACTTGTTATGTGCCCAATGTGCAACTAAGTAATGACATATATCAAAAAATAAAATCTGTAGGATATAAATAAATGATCATATAGGTAAATGATTATACAAAACACATAAGACTTTATTTTTTAAAAGTCCCCATTGTCAATTTTTACTTGACTTTCCTATTAAGTTTAAAAATAGATATCTTCAATGGGCAAGAGCATATCTTGGTCCCTAACATCCTTAAACGGAGAGATTATAATTATTTCTCTGGCTTAACCAAAATTAAGAAATGATTAGTTTCTTTGACCATTAAATATTTCCACAAGGGTATCATTTTAATTGGAGTAAAAATAGAATATACCCAGAACTTAAAAATGATAATAAGGTAAGATATAATTAAATTGTATAATTATGGTGATAATGTAATTATATTCTGTTGACAGTGTTGACTGTTCTAATATTTTATATAAAGTATATGTATTTATGTTGTTCAAATAAAAGCATTGAAAGAAAGTATTTGGCTTTTAAGAATTTTTATTGAAAAATGGAATGTGTGTTTGAAAATAATTCTGGACTTACCCCTAAATAAAGCTAATTTGTGATTATACTACGAAGTGGATAGAAATATGGCAACTGGGAAAAAAAAGAAAGTTGTATTTGCTTTGGCTACTTGTTGAAAGGCACCTGAATACTTAGTCTCAAGTCAAGAAAACTTCTCCAGACTGCATACAGTCCCAGGTAGCACCTACAGTGTAGGGCCGCAAATCTAAAGAAAAGAAGGGATGAAATAGGAACTTTCCATTTGGGTAAAATTTTCATTGCAGATCAAATCTCACACTATGGGCCATGTAATTGCTATGTGACCTTGGCAAGAGAGTAAATCTAAGCTTTCTTAAATTTAGGAGAAAATATTAGTGGTACCCATCTCAGAGGTTTATTGTGGGGAAAAAGAGTGATTAATGATATATGGTGAGAACATCATGCTGGTAGCTTGGCCTGCCTTTTATCAGTTTTCTCCACTACCTTGACAGACATTCTCCCTATCTTCCGGATTGTACATATATTAAAGCATCCTCTAATGTCTTACAGATTTGTGGAATGCTTAGAGTTTTTTAAGATCTAAGAAAAGTTGAAATACATTTTGGCCCAGATGACTGTTTTTGGCTAGTAGAATGAACTGAGATCAGGAAAAAGATGAGGATCAAAAAGTATCTAGTTGGAGATGGAGCTTTCTGTCCTTCATAGCTTAGAGCCATTCTCAAGTATTATGTGCTCCTTCAGTATAATAATCCTAGAGTTGTCGTTACAAGGAGTAAGGTCAGGTCATCTTTAGAAGAAATGTTTCCCTATAGGAAACTAAATGTTAGACTTCCTTCAAAAGAAGAAACTTCTCACACAGGATTAGCATCAAAAGAAAACTTAATGGTATCTGGGTTGAGATATCTTTGGCCTTAGGTAATTCAGGACTAAGAATTTCCTCTTAAACATGGCTATATTGGAATAGAGGCCCAGAGGACACCCCTCTCAGTTTCATGAGTGTTCATATGTCGCACTGCGTGTCAACTAGATGGGGTGCGGTGCTGTGGGGGAGCGCCGCAGAGAGCAGGGCGCTTTCTGAACCTGAGGTAAACCAGCTGGGGCCAGCTGAGGACGGAGCAGGGCTCTGAATCCCGCAGAGCTTGTTCCGGGGTTGTCACGGATGAGGGGGGATAAACACAAAACGTCGCAAACACCTTTCTGTTGCTGGGAGAGCAGATGGGGGCACTTTCCTCGTAGTGGAGAAGCCTGTGGCATATCCCCCTAGTGGGGAAAGCCCCATCACTCTTTTTTCCAAGACTTTTATTGAAAATCTTACCAGTGGAGCCAGGTAACAGGAATGCACACATACACTTGTCACATTAACATGTTAAGTTTCACAGAGAATAGATGCCTTTAAGAAAACAAGTTGACAGGAACTCACTGATTTACATGGGTCTGAGAGGAGACCAGTATAAACAAAAGAGAATGAAGATAAGGGCAAGCTCCTTAATGATAAAGGGTAAGGGGTGTAAATAATGTGAATGTCCTCATAGCATGACCTGGCCAGAGATCCGAGGGAAGAACAAAGCACACTTTAAAGAATTTACTTTTAGGCCTGGTTTCCCTGGCAACCACCAGACCTGATTTGGAGCTGACTCCTGCACTGTTTCAAGCCTGAGCCAGGCCTAGGGAGGGAACCACGAAGAGATAAGGAGACTGCTTTTCGGCTACAATGAGGACTCTGGTCATGTCCAAGCGAAGCCAAGAAGTGTGGGGGTCTTTTTGCCTCTTCTCCGTGTCCCCCAACTTCTTGCTACTGCTTATATCGGTCGATGCCTGGCTAAGGTTGCCCCTCCCCTGAGGGGGTCTAACCCATCATTGGCAGGGACCATCACAAAGCAAAGCAGAGAGGCAGGGGCTACACACCTGTCAGGGGGGAAAGGTCATGTCTCCTCAGGAGCTGTTTCTCCAAGGCATCCTGATTATTTTCAGCCTTGGGGCCCTCCAGCCTGTCAGCAGGGTTATAGCTCCTGAAACCAGGCAGGGCATTTCCCAACATTCATGAAAAATACCTTTAAAGATTTAAAAGTAAACCCTTTCCCCTTCTACTTCTATTTGTGTTATATTGTAAATTTTTTAAACAAATCCTTATAATGTTAAATGTATGCCAGACACTGTCCTAAGTTCATCACACAGTGTTCTAAAAAAATTCTTAAATTTAACTAATAATAATATTAATGATTATTAAGAAATAATCACCTAATTATTAAAATTATTAAGCAAATACCGTCATTCATATTTTTCAAATGAGAACACTGAGGCAGTAAGAGGTGAACTAATTTTCCCAAGGTCACATAACCTTGGAGCTGCCATTCAGAGCCAGGCAGTTTGATTCCAGAATCTGTTATTAATCACTGCAAAATTCTGCCTTTCAAATTTATAAAGTAAAAATAAAAAAATTAAATAAAATGAAAACTGACATGCCATGCTATTTGTACTTTTATTTGGCCCTTCAATCAAAAGTCTTTAACATGTCATAGGAATTTTTTATGTGTCCAAACTGGGGAATGTTGGGAAACGCCTTGTCTGGTTTCAGGAATTGTAACCCTGCCAACAGGCGGGAGGGCACCAAAGCTGGAAATAATCAGGAAGCCTTGAAGAAACAGGCTCCTGAGGAGACATAACCTGTCCCCCCTGGCAGGGGTGTAGCTCCCGCCTCTCTGCTTTGCCATGGATGATTGGTTATCAGCGACAAGTAAGTTATCTCCAGCTGAGGTACACAACCTAAGACAGATGCCAATAGAATATTGGCAGCAGACAAGAAATTAGGAGACATAGAGGAAGGGCAAAAAGATCTGCACCCTCGGCTTGGCTTGGACATGACCTGAGTCTTCATTCTATCCGAAAGCAGTCTCCTTCTCTCTTGGTGGCTCCCTCCTCCCACCTGGCTCAGGCTTAAAACAATGAATCAGTCCTAAACCAGATCTGGTGGTTCCCAAATCAGGCCTAAAAGTAAATTCTTTAAAGTGTGCTTTGTTCTTCCCTCAAAAGCTGTAGCCACCTCATGCTGGGAAGGGAATTTACATTATTCACAGACCCTAACCCTATACCCTTAGGCACTCTTATGTTTACTACACTCTCCTGTTTAGTCGTCTCTCTCGTTTACTAGTCTCCTCTTGGACCTATGTAAATCGACGTGTTCCTGACATTTGTTTTCTTCAAAACATCACCCATTCTCTGTGCGCATTAACATACTGATACAATGAGATGACCTGTGCATTCCTGTTACCTAGCCCCACTGATACCCTTTTCAATAAAAGCCTTTGGAAAGAGGGGTGAGAGGGGCTTCTCCACTAAGAAGGAAGTGCCCATGTCCTCTCTCGCAGCAGAGAAGTGTTTGTGACAATTCCCGTTTATTCCCCTCATCCGTGATGGGCTCTCCAGGATTCAGAGCCCTGCCCCCATCAGCTGGCCCCAGACCTTAACCCTCAGATCCAGGAGCACCGCGCTCCCTGCAATGCGCTCCATCCCCTGGGGCAGTCGCTGCCTAGACCGAGGAACCAGAGCGGCATTTCCCTATGGAGGCGCACCCCGTCTCACTGCCGCGCGATGCCACAGGGGAATACTATTTTGCCTTGGACAAGGTAATGGTAATATCTTGTTAATGTCAGGAAAAAAATGTCCAAGACTTGAAAATTACAGTTGTCTTTACAATGGAGTGTTGGACATTGTCTAACAGATCTTCTGTGGAGTAGCTGATTTTATGAAAATGTGAACCTGATGCTGTTGTTCTGGAGGTCTGGGGCCCCAATGGTCCAAGACCCACTGTGGGTTCTTCATTTCTCACAGGGAAGAATTCAAACATGAGCCAGCATAGAGTTTAAGGTGAAAATGAGTTTTTTAGTGAAGCAGTGAGACTGAAAGTGGGCTACTCCACAGACAGAGCAACTCCCCTTTAGCAGAATTTGATTCTTTTACTGAGATTCATTTAATTGAGGAGGTATCGTATTCACTAAGGGGAAAGAATATTTAGGATATTCCATGAAAGGGGTGGAGATTTCTTAGAGAAGCTCCCTCTGCCGTTTTATGTCATTTTTTGGGTTTTACAATTCTGACCTGACCATGGCTGCGAGTGGTGTGTTCTTTAGCATGCTAATATATTATAATGAGTGTATAAGGCTAAGGGTTACTGTTAGGTGAAATTAGTCCTCATATTGGATCAAGCTGGTCTCTGTCAGTTTTAAGGCATAAATCTAGTGTGGGGTGGTTTTACTTCCTTATTGATAATTCCTGTAGCTTTTCTAGATTGTAACTCTTTTACCACATACCCTATCTCACACTTTTGACTATTCATCAACCAGTCTATTATATAACTATAAGGATAAGAATAATAGAAAACAAATAATAAAGCAAATGGTATTTTCTATAGCAATGCAAATAAATGTTATCTTGCTCCCAGTCAAAATGGTGGTGTAGGTAAACAGAGTACTCTGAACTTCTAACAACAATATCAGAATTACAAGTGAACTTCAGAACAACCATCATTGAGCGCTGTCTGAAATCTGGCTGAACAGAAGTCCTGTAACTAAGGATATGAAAAAGAAGCCACATCAAGACTGGTAGAGGGATCAGAGATGCAGAAGAAGACAGTCTAGCGTCCATCTGTAGAGGTTAAAAATCATGAGGGATAGCTGAGCCTCAGAGGTCCTCCCTCAGCAGCAAGGGGCCCTGGCCCACACTGAGGCCAGAGCCCAGGGTTCCAGTGCTGGAAAGAGAAGTCTTCATAACTTCTGGCTGTGAAAATTGATGCTGAGTAACATGGAGGGCTCCCCCTCCTAAAGGGCCCAAGCACAGTCTTACTTGGATTCACTTGCTGTGAACTCTGGTGTGGG